TGTGATATCAATGTAGAGTAACATAACTGAAGTCATTACTTCTTATTTATTTTGAATGGTCTAGAATGGGAACCTTCAGCCCTGAAGATTCAGCCCCTGTAAGATGATTGCCAGATCATTGCAACCTTTCTGTTAAAACACCTGAGCCTGCAGCATGCCAGCAGCAGTCAACGTGGTGACACTTTAATGGTAAAGCATTCATCTGGGAAGGAGGCAGGGCTCACCTGTGATTATTCTGTGTCCATGACAAAGGACACTGCACAAATGCTAGAAATCTGGATGCTCATGAATAAGAACACTGAAACCCACATTCATCAGGGGCAAGAGGTCTTTAGCAATCACGAGACCCACAGTGGTGCAGCAAAACTAAAGAAAGGAAAGATTATTCAGGCAAATGTAGCTCACAGCAGAGAAATGTCCTTGAGTTATTGGAAGAACAATATCCCTGCCAAAACCATCTGCCATTTTCCGTAATTTCCTCTGCAGCTGAAGCTAGGCTGCCCTCAGCTGAATGTACCGTGTTTCTGGATTGGCATGTACAGGCCACAGGAACTGGCAGGGAGGAGAAGAAGGTAAGGGAACATGACTGGAGAGAAGGCGGGGGGCAGAAAGCAAATCAAGATGAGAGAGAATGGGCTACAATCAGGAAGGAAGCAAGCTGGTAGGAGATGAAGCAGAGAGCCAAAAATGGAAGAAGAAATGTGCCAGTCTAACAGCTTACTGCTGCCAAGGGACTGGTTCTGCCTCTCAGATCTCCACTTCAGGTAGCACTTCTTCCTCCTTTCCACCCACTGTGGTACTCAGCATTGTCTCAGTGAGGTAGTTCAGCTCACCAAGCCACAGTAAAACCAGCCTTTCTTCTTTTTCGTTTTTTTTTTTCCCTAATCTCTTTCTCTCCCCTTCCTGCCCCAGCTAAGTCTGCTCTTGGCTGGACCACTGGGCTCAAACAGAGCAAGGTGATTTCACATGAGCCAGGATTCAAGGCATTGGATGCAGGACTGCCATCTTCCTGACCACACAGATTGATTCAGTTCCCCCCCATGAAGCTTCACCCTGAGCACAGCCAACCCATCCTCAGGCAGCTGCAGGCACATTTGTCTGCACATTGAATCTGTACTGAATTCTCATCCAATCTGAGGAAGGAAGGGTAGATGGTCATTGGCCTGAAGTCTAAGAAAAGCTCTTAAGGAGGCAATATTGTGTTTAACAGATCTTTCCTTATTAAATCTCACAATTCAGAGGGTCTAAATCAATCTAATGCTGCAATTGCTGTGAATTAGCGTGGCTAAAGAAAATTCAATCACAGACTCTGAAATTTTATTTGATCCTTTCAATCACATCATGGTTGAACACAAAGTTATTTAACAAAAGAAAGCTGTTCAGTAAAAAGTGCTATTGTTACATATGTGGATACATTCATCATATTGTTATTACAAGATTCTTTTCAGGTTCTGACCTCACAAGCATTTTAATCTCATCCTTTGAGTGTTAACCAGAAGTTTTGCAGTTACAGGCCAATGCTTCTATGCCAGAGTGGACACATGTAAGCATATTCCAGCTGCTGTTAGAACAACTTCTGGTGTTACAAGGATTCACACAGCCAGAAAACCTGAATTAAATGTATCCTTAACTACTCTATCCTTTAGGTACTGTTAAGTGTTGAATTCAAAAGAGGGCTACAAAACCAGCTTCATCTCAATAAAACCCTGTCTTACGGAGAGACTGGTCAGCAAAATAGAATGGAATAGTTCAAAGAAAAGGCCAGAGGAGATCTTGCCATGATACATGAGTAATTGTACAGGAAGAGTTTTCTGATAGACTATCCTTTGTGCCTGCAGTGGCAGAGCAAGATTCAGTGGTGTCCTGGGTTCAGCAGTAGCAGTCATGTTTCTCCTTCATGGTAGCTGGTGCAGTGCTGTGTTTTGACTTCCAGCCTGGGAACAGTGCTGGTGATACTGATGTTTTCGGTTGTTGCTAAGTGATGTTTACCCTGACCAAGGACTTTGTGAGGCTCATGCTCTGCCAGGGAGGAGGGGAAGCTGTGAGGAAGCAGAGATGGGGCGCCTGACCCAGGCTAGCCAGGGAGGTATTCCATACCACAGCACGTCATACCCGGGGTGGGGGGTAACTGGGAGTTACCCAGAAGGACACGGGCTTCCAGGTGGGACTCGTTTCTTGGCCGGTGGTATCGTATTCTGTTCCCTTGTTATTTTCTCTTATCATTGTTGTAGTTGGTGGTAGCGGTGGTGATTTGTGTTGTACATTGATTGCTGGACTGTTCTTGTCTCAACCCATGGGAGTTGCACTCTTTCGATCCTCCTCCCCATCCCCCACGGGAGTGGGGAAGGGGAGAGCCCCGGGGGGGGGGGGGGGGGGGGTGCCTCGATTGCTGTCACTGGAACTGAGTGAACAAGCTGTCTGGCTAGGGTTTAAACAACGACAAGTGGCTGGAAGCTAAAGCTAGAAAATGGCTGTCACTCCTTCCCTCTACCAGAGCATCCCACAGGCATCAGTGTGTGGACTGTGTTTGCAGGAGTCCCCACTGTACCATACCCAGAATACCACAGGGTGGCTGAAAATGGGACAGAGGAACGTCAGCAGCATCTGGTTCATACAGAACCACAAATGGCCCCTAAAGCCTGGATGATCCCAGCTTTGGAGTGCCACTTGAGGACCCCATGCACATCCCCAAGGAGCCATGGCATGAATGTTCTCACACATTTTCATGCCATACTTGACAGAAATGGGCTAGTTCTTTACTTCACAATACATGATTGTTCCTGTCATCCTGATCCACTGGTCTCATAACTGCCATTCTCATCCCTCCGCTTGTCATTCCTCTGTAGTGTTTCCCTGATTCGTGACTCTGGGAAAGAGGCTGGTAGCATTTCACAGAAGATGGACGAGGAATCATAGTGGTAAAACACAAGTCTTTCCTCCACTGGTGAGAGGAAGACAGGATAAAAGAAGATTTGGGATTGTTTCCTTGTTTTTGTAAAGGGATTCTTATGGCATGGCAAGCCAGGGACACATGTGATAGGTTGACTATCTGCTAGTGACTGTAGTGGCAAGAAAGGGAAGAAGATGAGGATTTAAGGAAGAGAAAAGTTATCTGAAAGACAGGGAAATTAGAAAGGGGAGGGATAAGAGAAGAGCTGTGAATTTCAAGAGGAAGCAGAGGCATGGTTGATGAAAGCTATAACACCTCCTGGAGGCACCTTCACAAGGTATGGTAGATGAAGGGAGACCAATGAGTATTCTCTACCATACAGTTTAGTAACACTTTCAACAGTGTCTCCCATAAGATCCTCCTAGAGAAGCTGATGTAGTACAGGCTGGATGAGCAGATGTTTAGGTGGATTGAAAACTGGACGAATGGCCGGGCCCAGGGGATGGTTGTCAGTGGTAAGAAGTCTCGTTGAGACCAGAAACTAGTAGTATTCCTCAGAAGTCAGTACTGGATCAAATCATCTCTTCGTTTCAAAGATACTTTTTACCTCAGGAACATAAATTCCTAATTCACTACAATACACCACAACACCAAGCTTTACTACTGATCACCTTGTTAATATGTAAGATGAATGGAATCTAAAAAATATTTTGTAAATTCTGCTAAAAGTCTCCCAAAGTTTTCCAAAGAAGGTAAGAAATTTGACAAGTTTTCATAAAAACAGGCATCAGTCTAGCTGATCTCTCTGTACCATATTCCATTAATAAAATGCATTAAAATGTGCTTTCCTACTCAGCTCAACAGTGTTATCATTGTGGTTTAATGCATTTATACAGCAGCAAGACAGAAATTTGCATTTTATTTCCATTTTAACATGAAAGCCTGAATCAAGGACTGTACTGCTTCCACTGTCTTGTTGCATATTGCTTTCTAGTCTTATCAGAAAACAAGAGACACTTGAGCAGGTATTATGAAGTGCCTCCTGTAAGAGGGAGCATTTTAAAAACTCTCATTCATGTGGTTTTCCCATGAAAAGAGCTTGAGCTGACCCTCAACATTCTTGTAGAAAGGAAAAGATGTTCTTGCTCTCAGAGGCTTTAAGATATCCCTGTATATGGGATCATCTTTGCTTCTTACATTTGTACATCATCTAGCATAACATCAGCACATTTTGAGACAAAGAACTTCAGTAGTGATATAACATAATCATATTTTGGAGTTAGCAAGGTAGCACTGCCAGAGGGCATTTGGGCATTAGTTTTCCCGCCTTGAGTCTACAGGGAATTTGAGCTGTAAGGGTTTCTGCTGACTGGATCATATTTTATTTTCTTCTCAAAAGAAAAAAAAGGAAGCATCCTATCAGTAGAATCTCTGCTTTGTAATTCCAGCCATAAGAGATGCCGGGTGCCTTATTTAGAGAAGTAACCTGGTTAACACAAAGTATGAGACTGCCCTTTTCCTCCCAGGTCTGTTTTTTGAGCTAGAGTTTGATACAGGAAATGTTTCTGTCACACTAACACTTCTCAGATAAGGAATTTGTTTTTTTTTTCCTTTCCTCTTTCAAGGGTTTGTATCAGCACAATGCCGTACAGACACAGTGACTGTTACCCCAGCACCTGCAAGGGCCAGTATCCAACTTGACCAGTAACCAGGCCAGAAAAGCTGATGTGCTGGATTTGGCTTGGGCGAAGTTAATTTTCTTTACAGCATCTACTATGGGCTCTGTTTTGGACCTGTGCTGACAACAATGTTGGTAATACAGAGGTGTTTTAGCTATTGCTCAGCAGTGCTCACACAGAGTCAAGGCCTTTTCTTCCTCTCACACCACCTCAGAGACTAGGCTGGGAGGGCACAAGGAGTTGGGAAGGGACACAGGTGGAACAGCTGACTCCCAGCTGACCAAAGGGATATTCCAGGCCATATGGACTCATGCTCAGCATATAAAGCTGGCAGGAGAAGAAGGAAGTTGGGGGGTGATGTTTGAAATGATCCCAAGTTTGAAGTGATCCCAAGTAGCCATTGTGAATGATGGAGCCCTGCTTTCGGAGATGGCTGAACACCACCCTGCCAGTAGGCAGTGGTGAGTGATGGCCTTGTTTCTCTTTGCTTGTGTGCACAGCTCTTGCTTTACCTATTAAACTGCCTTCATCTCAACCCACAAGTTTTCCCACCTTTACACTTCTGACTCCCCCCCCATCCCACCGTGGGGAATTGAGCAAGCAGCTGTGTGGGGCTTAGCTGCTGACTGAAGTCAAACCACAACAGCTGACCAGGTTGTTTGACATCCATGGAGCTAAACAAAAACCCCTTTACCTATTCTGTCAATTCAGATGTACAACGAGATACTACAACAGTTATTTTCTAGAGAGTGGATCTCCACTGCAGATTTGGAACCCACAGTTTACTGTTCATGTCCTCAGTACAAGGTATGTGAAGTATTAGAAGTTGGAGATCCAGAAGATTCCCTTTCTGTGTAGGCTAGGTAACTGGAAATTATGTCCCTCTGAAATCACATCTATTACTTTGAAACTTGCACTTTAAATCTGGCATACATTTTCTCTGTTTGTTTTTAATGTATCAAATGTGATAAATCAGTATTTTTAACTCAATGCCTAGTAGTATCATTCACCCAGGGAAGGCTTTTAACATTCTTTCCAGCCAAGAATAAGGTGAACTTTTGAAACAGGGTTTCAAACCATTCAGAGTACTGACAACAAAGCTGCACGTTCTTATTGGTTGGTGAAGCCTACTACAGACAATTTTTGTTGCAGTGACCCACCTAGAGTAATCACAAGGATTTAGTGTTTCTGTGGTCTCTCTAGCACCAATAATAACTGCAAAATTCTATGTGCTGCCACTACTGAAGTCTCAATAATATAAAAAAATCTTTGAAGTTTGGAAGTTTCTGCTTTGGCCAGCTTTAAATTATTTTGTGTTTTCTTCTTCATTTGTTTGTTTGGGGGTTTTTATTACAACAAACAAGCCATAATTAAAGGTAGAGTTCTGGGGCGCTGCTGCTAGGGGAGACAAGAACTCCATCCTGCTATGTTTGCTGGCATGGACATAACATCCATGTGTACCTGGAAAATTAACAGGTTGAGTGGATTGGGTGTTATAGGAGGCCTTACTTCTGTCTCTGTTACTTTCAACTTGTGAGCATGGCCTTTATGTAAAGCCAACAAAAACTCTTTAACAATAGTGTAATGCAAAAGAGCAAAATTCATGACTTCTGCCTACTAAAAAAGTACAACTGAAAAATTGCATAGAGTCATTGGCACACAGACAGGAAACAAATTAATGGCAGCCATTAATTCCTGGTGAAAGAACCAAACATGGAAAAATGCTTACCTGAACATGTAATGAGCTGCTTAATGACCTACATCATAGACTGATTTGTTTTGTAGAAAAGAAATTTTAGCCCCAGATTTGGGCATCTCATATAAAATACTGAGCTCCATAGAAAATATCGAGTGTGAACTCAGTCAAACCGAGAAATAATTTTCCTGCCCTGCCACAAATAAACTTTTCTCCTTATATGCCTGATTTTCTATTAAATAGTTGAAGATAGAAAAAGCTAAGAAAATATCATCTCTTTAGCTTAGTCCCAACCCAGATTTCTTCTGCCCTCTGTGTCATGCAAACTTGATCATTACATGAAATCAAATGCAAAGTTTCACTTACTTGGTCTCAGGCAAACATATCAAACTTTTTTTCCTCAGAGCTCATTAACACTCTCTTGCTTTTCAATACGAAGATACTGACGGATGAAGTATACCTATGATCCAGACTAAAACCAGAATTTGCTTTGGCATCTGGGAAAATGCCCCAGCCATCTGTCTGGAATTTTTCACATTTTCTCTTCTCTCTCCTTTTCTGCTGTAAGAAATCTCACTTTTAGGAATCCCATTATAGAGAAGCAACAGGTTTAGGTGTTCCAGCCCTACAGCAGCTTTGGAGCCTGGTTCTTCCCTCACAGAGACATCGCTCTGGCCTTGCAGGTAGGTATTTATATCTGCTAGCAAGACAAATCATACCAGCACCTCTAACATCAGCATTTCTTACAGTTACTTTAAACCTTTTCATTTGCTGTCCTTCACATCTTATGCCTGTTCCAAACCCCTATTGGAAATACCTGAATCTCTACTTTTGTGTATGGCAATTACTGGCTTCTAAGCTAGAGGTGTCAGTGCCAGTCCAGGAGCCAAGCAAGGGACTGAAATAGTGGGAGTGTCACCATTGCATAAGCTAACTCTGAGAGCCTGTGGTTCTGAACTGGGTGTTTGCTAGACAGTGCTACCAACACATTTGCACAAGTTTATGTAGGTAGAAATAAAAACAAACATTTCATGGGATAAGACATATGATCTAACCCTAAAATAGTTTATTCTTAAAAACAAAGAAACAGTAAATTAATTCCCTTACTTTGTGGCCAGAGTCAGGATGTCTATCAATGAAAAAATAGAAATGGCATTCAGAGCCAACCTAACATTTTGCTGCTATGAAATCATAAAAAATGTACTTCATGTACTTGGCTGCTCTCAAAATATATGGGATGAACACTACAGAGAAAATGAGGAGCCTTTCCTTCAAGGATGAGAAATGAGTTTGTGAATGACTGATGATGTAAGAGGAACACACAGTTCATAGTATGCTAACTTTTTACAATTTACTTGCACTTGCAAAGTCTTTTTTGTTATCATAGAAAGACAAATCCCAGGATCTTCATTGTTCCAAAGTCTGTCTTTTTCCAGTTGCTTGTGCTTTATTTGGCCTCATGACCTACTGTAAGGAGAGAAACTCATCACAATCTCTCCAACTTCCATGTAAGATGCAATCTTTAATGCTATTCTATGCATGAAGACATGGAGAACTTGTGAGTAAAGCTTGAATCTGTAACACCTAGGTCCTTTTTGTTTTCCAGAATTATAAAATAAAGTAATGACTATTTGCCAAAAAGCTCAGCCATCCCACTATTAAGCTTCTTGCTGTCCGTAATCCTGACTTCTGAGAAAGAAGTCCTGCCTCAGAACACAGGAGGTGAATGTCATGGTAAATGTAACAGGCATACTCTAGTCCAGACTTTGTGCCACACAGTAAGTTGCTTAATTGGATTCTGAAAAAAAGAAAGGGGTTTACTTTTTATATGGTCCCAGAAATTACTAGTATTTCAGGCAGAAATCCTTTCAGACTGGCACAACTCTTAATGATAGATGTTTGAGTCTGAACTCAGCTGAAACCAGTGGTTAATGCTGTAACAGCATTAACGGGAGTGGGAAAAGAGTTAGAAATCGCGTGTTTGCATGAAAAATACACGACTGAGTGTATTAATTAGAAGCAGAAACAAGAAAGAATTCAGAATGAACAGAATGGCCTTATTTATGGAGACAACTTAACTTGCTTTCAAATTCCTTAAAGTACCTTTAACCCTGCTTCTCAGCAGAGACCACTTTTTTTCTCATGTACATACAAAAGATGGTTCATGCCAGAAAACCGTCCACTGTGTGGTAAAGCTTAAAGAATGAAAACCTGTATGCTGTGTATGTGAACACAGCAAGCAACTTTATGAGCAGCATGGCAAGTCCGTTCAGAGAGAGCCTGTCCTGACATCTCATCTATGCTTTCTTGTAAAAAGCCTTCAAGAAAAGGAACAATTCCGAGTACTACCCACACCCACAAACAGATGTAGAAGTGGAAAGCTATTACAGCAATTAGCTATGATAAACTCTCCAGAGATATTTTGTAACCCACAATTTGCCAGGATAATCCCAGCCACGTAGTTTGTCTCCCATGAAAACACTTTGACCTCAGATTTCTTTCTTGGAGTACACAGCAGATTTTTCCCAGGTCCCTCCCTTGGGCATTCAGTGGAACAAGGCTCTGTTTACTAGCGTTTCAGCCACTCCAAGTATAATATGCGAGTGCTAGAAATGTAATGTTATTTCAGGTTTACAAACTTAAATTAATGGTACAATTGCTGGCATGTGATTAAAATAATGTAAAAACTTCCAAGGGATGTTACCAGAAACTGAAACGCAATTTCTTGGAGATTTTCAGGAAAGGTTCCTTCATAGAAAAGTCTCCATTTTAAGTTTACAATAGTCACATTTTGAACAGTCTCAGATTTGTTGGAGTTCCATCCAAGGCAACTCTCAGGTATATATCAGAGCAGAAGCCCTGATTCTCTGTAAATAAACATCATATAGTAGCATGCATTATAGCATGTTACCTTTAGTCCTATAAATAGAAGACATGGAACTTGCTAGTTCAGCAACTCATATTCTAATAATAATAACACTTCAACAGTTTTCTGATTTTATGATGCCTTCAAAATTATGAAATTGATGCAAAATACTTTTTGCTAAGAGTTCTTGGGCAATAGCTGAACCCTGAAAAGTTTCCCAGAAATCTCCTTCTGACCCTCGATTTATTGTTATCTCAAAACATAGTCTCATACATAGTCAATCAAGCTGATGAGTTTTACGCTACGTCATTTTCTTACTCCAAGCCCTGTGTTCATGAATGAATCACACATTAGCACAAATCTTGGTTTTAAGGACATGGAACTGTTGGAACAAGTCCAGAGGAGGGCCACAAGGATGATCAGGGGGCTGGAGCACCTCCTGTGTGAAGATAGGCTGAGAAAGTTGGGGCTGTTCAGCCTGGAGAAGAGAAGGCTGCGTGGAGACCTCATAGCAGCCTTCCAGTATCTGAAGGGGGCCTATAGGGATGCTGGGGAGGGACTCTTCATTAGGGACTGTAGTGATAGGACAACGGGTAATGGGTTAAAACTTAAACAGGGGAAGTTTAGATTAGATGTAACAAAGAAGTTCTTTATTGTAAGGGTGGTGAGGCACTGGAATGGGTTGCCCAGGGAAGTTGTGAATGCTGCATCCCTGGCAGTGTTCAAGGCCAGGATGGACAGAGCCTTAGGTGACATGGTTTACTGTGAGGTGTCCCTGCCCATGGCAGGGAGGTTGGAACTAGAGGATCTTAAGGTCCTTTCCAACCCTAACTATTCTATGATTCTATAAAGGTGTTCTGTAGGGCCTATTCTACATGATGAAAGCCATTAGTATAAAATCAAGATCACAGAGTTGGGAATTTTCTTCCTGCAACTGTATTATTTTGCATAGTCCCAAAGCCCATAATTCATGCCAGGGCAAAACTATAAGGGGTGAGCAAAGGAAGAACTAGGTCTACATTATTGTCTTAACAGTATTTCAACACCATAAAACTACTATATTTTTGATAGATACTAAGTGATGCTTATTCCAAGTTGTGTATATGATTCACATGCACAGGAGTTCACAGTATCAACAGCAGTATTGGATTTTAGAAGTTATAAGTAAATCATTCTGATGGAAAACAAAATAACATGATATCTGACAAACAAGTCCTGCAAAATAAACTACGTGTGTATAACTTGTGAAACAAGGAGGCAACAATCATCTTGTCTGAAACATCTATAATCTTTGTTTCATGCTTTGTTTGTGTACAGAGGCTACAGACAAACCAAGCGGCCCTGGGAGGTTATGGTCATCCTGCTGAAACTCCCTTTCAGGTGAACAGCTAGCCAAAAATGTGATGCATAAGTTCTTCATAGTAATCATGGAAGCTGGGAGTAAGACGGACCTAAATCACCATAAATTGTCCCGCAAGGATAAATTTTAATCATATTGTCATGTTCAGTAACCCAGCCATGCTTTGAATCTGCTTTGGGCCTGATGGAATATGAATATGAATAATAGAACAACAGCAGCTACATTTGCAAGTTGCTAGTCTGCACACAGGATTGTTACCATATGATTTATATCTGCCCAAAGCAAAAAAAAACAAACCTCTCAACATGGTCAGTGGAATACTCTGGCACATCTCTCTTCATTCCTTACTCCCACTGTATTTCAAAAGGAATTTATCACTGCAGCTACTATTCAATGCGGTGACACTGGAGTGTTTTCTGGACAACAAAGAACTGAAGTAGAAAGCTTTGCCCTTTCCAAAATTCAGAATCTCAGCTAATATTGGGTATATTGTTATATTAAAACTTGGTAAATCTCCACCTTTGCACTGAGTAGCCTTTATTTAATGTGTAAATCCTAAGGAAACATAACAACACAAGATAAAACCAGAGAGAAATGGAGCATTTGTGATAACTGTCCACAGTGTTATACAACATGGCTTACTATAATGTAAAAAATCATTTGGGATCTTATCTGGAGTATTTTCTTTATCTGTGCATCTTTCTAAACTGTTCTTCTTACAAACTCCTTTGCTTTCAAGGCTTATTCATCAGGAGAGCTTTTGTTATCTGAAGGCTAAGTAGACAGGAGGGAAAACAAGCCATCCAAGCTATTGTATATCACCAGACAATGTCTTACTGCCACCTTGTGTTGAGCAAAAAATATGAAAAGCTCATGTTTCACAGGCATTTAAACCAAATAAATAAAAAGCTGTTCAGAAAATAAACAAGGAAATCTTTTAGGAAGGCGTGTGTGAATACACGAATACATATATGAGATTACAATAATGGTTTAAGAGTTTATAAAAAGAGGAAAGTCTTTTATTTTCATTTCAAATTTGTCTTCACAAGCAAGTGGCAAATGTCCACTAACGGTTAATAGCCTTTTTGCTTTAAAAGCTGCAAAAAGAGCAATTTTTTTTTTCTGGGGAAAATTAATGAATATTTATGATTTTATTCCTTGTGCAGGGTTGTTTTTTCTCTCCCCTTTTTTTTTTTTTATATAGTTACATCATGAATAATGAGATTTCTTGAGAAGCCAGAGAGATTTTTTATCTTATTCTTGGGCTTTTTCTCAAACATTACAAACAACACTTTCTACACATACTTTGGTACATCCAAATGATGAAAAATTCCTACAGTGTTTTTTCTTCTTAGCAGTTCAGAATAAATCCACATGCTGCAGACAACTTTCCCACCTACCAAATAAATCATATTCAATGGCAGGATTGGTCCTTGCAGTTTAACAACTTACAAAATCATTACTTAAAGAAAATCTGTCTTCCGGTAGTTCCATGGATTAGTTTTCCTTGTGAAGCAATCACTGCACAGCAACACATACACACACGCATGCACAAACTAAGCCAAGAGGAGGCAAACTCTTCTGCAGCATTTGACCTTGCAGACTGATGATTAAAAGAACACAATTAATCAAGTATGTATTAAAGGTGTTAGCATTACTACAGGTTTACTCTCTATATGGTTCCCTCTATGGTTTATTAAACACCATCCTTTATGCTCTAAATCTGTTGTTTTCAACTTGTAGTTTGCAAACCCTTCAAAGTCCTATGGACTATGTCTAATGTGTCTGCAAAACCAAACTTTTAAAGAAAACTCATTTTTAAAAGAGCACAGGTCTTTTCTAGATAAGTATAAACACAAAGTTTTCTAAGGCTTTAGTTTTCCATTGGTCAAAACTTAAAAATCCACAAACTGAAAGATGTAGGAAAGCGCTGAATTAAAGCTCAGATTTGATCTCAAAACTTTTGGAGATATTCAGAATCACATTTTCTTTAGGACACCACATACTTCTATCTTCAAACCTGTGGAAACCAGTGAACTGTTACTATCAACTTAACTGCTTAGTAGGATTCCAAGCCCCAGTTATAAACTTCTCGAGGCCTTTTAAGGTTGTCATGCTACCACGGCCATGGATTTCTTTAGTATGCTAGATACCATCATTTGACAAGTCTACAGTAAATGAGGAAGTATCTTGGGGTAGTAATATTGATTAGTGAGAAGTGGTCCCACTAATTCCATCATTATCAAAGAGTCCATGTGAGCATTACGGACTGGTACTGGACTACAGGTATATAAGTTTCACCTTCAGACCCAGTATAAAAGAATAGAAGTTCTATGGCTTTGTGCAGCATGATAAATAGATGAAACAGTTACTTAATTTTGCGTGGATGATAAAGACTCTTTTCAGATATGTATGACCCTCGCTAATCCCAAGTCATAAAATGAGCTTGGTTAATGCATTTTAAAGCACAATGCTGTGTCTTGAGGGTTCACTGACTTCAGTTACTGCAGTCTGTGCTCAGGGAATTATTTGCAGGGCTGGTGAAAGTACTTATACATCAATAAAAGAATAATAAAAACCCACCAATAATTATTAAATATGTATAATATGAATTACCACTTAAGTTTTGATGTCTGTGACTAAAACAAGTCTTCCCACTCCCATATTAACTCCTTGTTCATTATAAGAGACCTTTATCTGCTGCTATCATTCCTAACTAGGAAAATCTATGCTTTAGGCAGTCACGGGAACATATTAACAAAGTTTAGTGAGTTGCAAAAGATGTTATGGCACAGGTTGAGAGGCCCAAAACAGAGTATTGCTTCATATCCGAGTAAACAACCCAAGTCACACTAACTGTGACTGCTGGAAAGACAAGATTAAAAAAAAGGAAAAAGAAAGAAAAGATAGCTCAAAGACAGGAATAGAGATAAAAGCATCCGAAAAGGGGCAAAGCACATTGTTTGTGCCCTAAATCCTCTTTCATGTTAAGAACTTTTCTAAAAGAGTAATTTTCAAACCCTAGGACTCATAGTCTTGAGTGATCTCTTACAGTACCCATGTTGGGCTCCCACTAGCATCCACAGCAATGCTTCTGCTGCCCCAAAGCTTCCCTTCTTCCTAGCCATCTCTGTTTCCTCAAGAATCCTTCAAGCTTTGGCAAGAGAGTCGGATCATCCTGTCTCAGTTCTGCTGGTTGAACAGGTGTTAGAAGGCAGCCCTCCTCTTACTACTGCTGTATTTGTCCTTGCTTTATTCCATTCCATTACACTCCATTCCATTTCTTCCTTTTTTTCCTCTGCTTTTTACCTTCCCCTTTTGTTACAGAAAGAAGCAAGATATACCCCTTTTCCAGTCCCAGAAGTGCTCAAGGTCACTTAAGTCAGAGACCTCTTATGGCTATAAGCAAAAGAGATGCCAGTAAATGAGAGTTTCTCAGACTTTGCTACCCAAGACAGCTTTCATTCTGTCACTCATAGTCTTAGTTAATCATAGGGCTGCTAAATATGTAATATAGTAACATGCTTTTATGAGTCTCGCCCAGTCTACATAACCTACCCAAAGTATACCTTTACAGAAGTGCCTCGTGGTCTTGTTCTAGATCCTGTAAAATCACACTTGTGGTTAGTATGTCTGCCTCTAACCACAAGGATCTTTGAGG